AATAAATAAATAAAAGGTGGGCTCAGCTATCCTACTATTTAATTTCCCGGCTAGCCCCCCATTATCTATTCTTCCCCCTTTTGCTTTTGATCCAGTGTATCTGGGGATCTGATGGTAAAACAGTTATTCTGGAGTTCTTTTTGTTGCCTGAATGGGGTTGTGGCTTCCTGAGCTCCTTAAGTTACATTGTCAGTCTGTTCCCAACAGATTTATATTTTCTGTTCTGACCTGATGGTAACACCCTTCTCAGTTCTCCAGTGTCTGCCATTGATTTTTTAAAATACTCATTTCAAAGGGACTAGGGGAAAAGAAAAAAGGTAAACAAGTGTACTCTTATTTTTCAGGTCTAAACTAAATCATAATGCAGCGTTTATGCAGATACCCATTGGTTTGGAGGGTAATTTTAAAGGTATTATAGATCTTATTGAGGAACGAGCCATCTATTTTGATGGAGACTTTGGGTAAGTGCTAAAAATACATTATTAAAATTTTAAATTTTAAAAAGCATTAAAAAGAAGGAAAGGATAAGTTCATCAAACCCAGAGTAACTATCTTTTTGAAATGTGGCTGGAAGAATACTCTGAGATGGTTTTGTTTTAATGCCTTTAATCCTTGTTGCTCCCCATTTTATTTAGTATTTATTCTGAGAGAGACTGTGTCACTTTTTGAGTAATAAACTCATATCACATTATGGCACGCGTGGTGTGGTGGAAGGAGGCCTTCAGTTTGGGTTAGTAAATTTGGGTTAGTAAATGTGTTATATCTTTTTGCACTTGTTCATTTATTCATTCATTCTGTGGACTTTTATAGAGCAGCTGCCAGGTCTGGGGTATTGGGATAAAAATTAGGAAGAAAATAGGGATCATAAATATTTGCTCCTCCTGCTTTATAATTACATGGACAAAAAAGATTGATAAGTTAAAACAGTTAAAATTGTACAAATGTAGTTTGGGAAATGCAAGAAATAAATTGGTAACTTTTTGATGTGGTATTTGGTTCATCAGCTTTTGAGCGACCTTTACCTACAAAGTACTGCAATTGCCTGGTGGTTACCAAACCTCAGCATTCATAACAGTCTCCTGGAGACTTTGTTAAAAGACATAGTCCTGGCTCTGCCTCCAGAGATGCTGATCAGTCCATTGGGGTAGGGCCCGTAGTTTGCATTTCTGGAAGGTTTCCAGTTGATGCTGCTCTTACAGATCTGCAGACCATACTTTGAGTGACATTGATCTAGACAATGTGAGGAGTCATAAATGATCCTTTGTTCTGAGGAGTGACCTCTGGAGCCTGGTAGTTTCTCCACAGGCACTTCCTGAGGGATTTCCTTCCTCTGCTATGGAATTGGGATTGCAGGTCTGGCAGGTGGGTGAATGGCATTGTGATCAGTGAACTGTAGAATTTATCTTCATCAGCCATCTTGTAAGCAGGAAAAGGATGGAGTCTGTCCAGGGGATAAGGTGTTTCTCTCACTTTTTATGTGACAACTGAGTAATGACAGCAAAGTTTACCTTCTACTCCTTATGATATAAGGCCCAGAAAGACAGAATTTTTCATTTTATTTTTTCCTACTTTATTCACTGCTATGTCCCAGCCCCTGCAACTGCCTGGTACATAATAGGGACTCAAAAATATTTGTAAATGAATGAATAAATCCACTTTCCCAGAATTACCAAGGCACATATTTCTGTTGTCAGAAGTAGAGACTCTTAAACTTTGTTGTACATCAGAACCACAGATGCAGCTTCTTAATGTACATGTATCCTTCTCCAGCCCTAGTTTACTGTATGTATATTTGGAAAGGAATCCACAGATGATTCTGACACGTGAAAGGCTAAGAAGCAGGGAGCTTGCCAGGAAGGTTGAAACTAAGATCTGAGGCTGTGGGGAGTCTTAGAATATTAAGAGTTACTTTTTGTTTCCTTGGAAATGGCTTCTTTTGTCTTTATTAAAGTTAGGAATGTATTTTCTGAAACGCTTAATTTTTTATATTAATTTCCATTTTAAAAGAAATACCTTGAAAAGTTTTCAGACTGCTTTTAAATATCATATCAAGTATATCCATTTTAGCTTTGAACATTTGATTTGTAATTTTACCTGTTCAGCCTCTGGAGGAATGGAGAACTGATGTCACAGATTGAAGAGTCTGCCATATTTAGTCACCCTTTTTTTTAAACTACAAATTGGGATATTCTTTGTTAAAAAGTGTATGATCAGGTCTGTTATTAATGGAAAGGAATAGAGTAAGGTCTTCCTAGTGCTGCTCGCTAGAGATTGTTATGTTGTGATTAATAAGAGTGTGATTAATAAGAATATGATTAATAGAATTTTCAAGAACTCAGATGGGCCCCAGACAGGTTGGCTTTGAATCTTACCTCTTCTGTTTACTAGTAGGACAGCGTTGGGCAAATTACTTTGCCTATGTAAGTTAGTTGATCTGAAAATGCAGATAATAAAAGCTACTTCTTATGTGAAGATCAAATAAATAGCTTGTCAGATATTTAGTTTAGTGCTTACTGCATTATAAGTATTCAGTAAATGGATGCTGTTATTACTTTGCATGCTTGCCAGTTTTAAAATAATTAGAATACAGTAAAAACTACACTGAAGAGTTTAAACTTTGATTTAGTTGATACTTTGTCAAGTCATTGTTTTGAACTTGTGTTTTACTGTATATTGAGTAAGGATAAAACCAGGTTGCATTACATTGGGAAGATTTTGTGTTATATATTTTATCATTATCTTCTGTAAAACTTGATATGCAGAAAAGTAGAATGTGATGTCTATTATAAAACCAGAGATTTTTTTTCTTATGATAGTGGACTGTTTTAGCTCTTCAGTTACTGGTAGTGCAACCTTGTCTTTAAACTTGCCTGTTACAGTATATTTTTCTATTATTCTGTGTGCATTTTACAGGTATGCATTAGTCTTGTTTGCCATTTGAATGCAAATGTATCAGAGCTCTGTCTTACCTAAAAAAATGTTTTAATCATATCTTTTTCATTAGTCCTTCGTATATCAAGTTGAATATCCTTAAAGCACCAAAATACTTGTTTTCTTAGTCAGATTGTTCGATATGGTGAGATTCCAGCTGAATTAAGGGCGGCGGCCACTGACCACCGGCAGGAGCTAATTGAATGTGTTGTCAATTCAGATGAACAGCTTGGTGAGATGTTTCTGGAGGAAAAAATCCCCTCGATTTCTGATTTAAAGGCAAGTGCTTTCAAAATAAGTCTTATATTAACAACAAAAAGAAGTTGTTTGTTTTTTGTAGGGAGGGGACATGATGCTTTTATGTATGGGCTTTATTAATGAAATCTCAGTACATTTATTTAACATAATTGGCTTCCTCAAAAAATACTTGACATGGTATATTACTTTTTTTAAGTGAGTTATATAATATCTTCAAATGAGAAAAGTTATTGAGGACCCTTAAATTATTGGGGACTTGATTTTAGTTTCTATTAGAGCCAGGACTCCAAAGAGTGTCAGGTCATTTTATTCATTTGTTGGTTGTGGTCACAGCAGTATTGTTGGCCTCTTCCAGCTGCTAGAGCTAAAGCTCCACTACGTATTCTCTAAGGCCTGCTCAGCCAGCAGACACATTGATGGTGTTTCACTAAGGGTTGGGGCAGGACCTGGAGCCTGCTACTGTCATGACCTGTAATTTATGAGAGGTTTGTACTGTTTGGTTTCCTGTATGTATGCTCTTTACAAAGAGAAAAAGATAAATGTTCCTTAATCGAGCATATGTTCATATGGTTTAAATATTTAAAAGGTATACAAAGGTAAACAGTAAACACCCTTTTATTTTATTTTTTTTCCGTCTTCCCAGTTCTCTTCCCCATCCCTGAAACAGGTTACCAGTTAATAGTTTCTGGTATATCTTTCCATAGGCTTTTGGTTTTGCATATATATTACTTTTTCCTCCATTTTACACAATTGTAGCGTACTCTTTGCAGTGTTCTATTAGTGTGTTTATTTTCTATGTGTATATGTATTTTTTTTTAGCAAATTGAAAATTAGTGACAATTAGTGATTCCAAGAGTGTCGAAAGCAGTTGTATAGTAAATCACTTCCCCACCCTGAAGGAGAAAGTGATTTTTTTCTTTGTATTTTGACCTTAAGTTCATTGGGGACCTGATTTTAGTCTCTATTAGAGTCAGCACTCCAAAGAGTAGAGTATCAGTTCATTTTATTCTTTTGTAATTGACTTGAAGCACAACATATAATTTTAACATTAACTACCATTAAATTGTTTTCTTTTGTAGATAGCAATTCGAAGAGCTACTCTGAAAAGATCATTTACTCCTGTATTTTTGGGAAGCGCCCTGAAGAACAAAGGAGTTCAGCCTCTTTTAGATGCTGTTTTAGAATACCTCCCAAATCCATCTGAAGTCCAGAACTATGCTATTCTCAATCAGGAGGAGTAAGTCTTGAAAACTGAATCTTAGTTTATGCAGAAATACTTTCATATTTGTGCACTGTGAAGGAATTTAAGGATGGTTCTTCTAGTTATGTCTGTGATTTTTTTTTCATAATTTATAAACATTAATCACGGTTTTTATTTGGGTAACAATTTTGACATAGAAAAATATTATATCAGTTCCCATATCATATTCTGTTTTGAGTTAAAAGTATGATTTGTTTTACTATCTCTCAAGGTTTACATCATTAGAAAATTTTTTCATTTGGGACTAGATGTTTTCAGACATAACTGTTAAAAAAAAAAAACTTTAAGAAACAAACTTCTGCTGGGCGCAGTGGCTCACGCCTGTAATCCCAGCACTTTGGGAGGCCGAGGCGGGCGGATCACCTGAGGTCAGGAGTTCGAGACCAGCCTG